CATACCTATCCTTCCTCTCTCCACTGCCCTCCAGCTGCCACTGCAGCACCATGTGGAATGAACGGAAGTGTGCTAAGCAGGTGTTTATATAGCCCTAAGAGTGTTATCACAACTATCCTGCTACAAAACATTGATATCTCAAATCCTGTAAGCTACCCGATTTGTTAGCGGTTTGTTTATCCCATGAGCTTCCTTCTCACTCACTTCGTATAATGTATGCTATACGCCCATGGCATCTAGACTGCTATGCAAATAAAGTCAGTCGTTGACACGAATCCATGGTTTTGTAGACATTTGTACTAGACAGTGACTCGGAGTACGGATTTGCTAGTGGTCGAGATTTTTTGAATTTTCTTGGATACCTACTCACTGCAGAACTTATATCCACCTCGTGGATTGAAGCCTTGAGAATGCTCTATCATTTGGTAGTCATAAATGTTACCTATGAATTTTTCAGAAAAAAAGAAAATTTTGGAAAGAGTGTTGCAGAACTTTCTTTCCAACCTAATATTTTAGCGCTGTGGTGGTGCAGTGATTGAAATCCCCGTCCAAAAGCTTCTTTCCATTTTAGCAGGTTATCGCTATTGCGTCTCATTGGTTGATGTCGAATGCCGCGTTAATTAGCCGCTGCTGCACACGACAAAACTCCGTGATAGTTTATTGTTCACAAATTTTGTGCAAATGAGGGCAGCTCTCGGGTGCTCAGCGAAGGGTGCTGATTCCGCTGAAAGGTGGAAGTAAATGAAGCACTGGTGCGTCTGTGAAAAAAATTGAGAGAGGGTTGAGCACCCGGGAAACAAAACCCTCTCTTCGCCCATCCGTCTGTTACTCAGAAGCATGCCTTTCTACGTTTCCTCTATAAACACTCCATGCCCACATTCACATGTTCCATATTAGAACTGTGGCTCAGCATGCTCGGTCTATCGGCGGAGAGGACCCACACCCCTTTCCTAGGAATCTTGACACGTAAAGAGGAGTGGCCGACCAATAGGGCCAATGGTGAAAATTATACCGTATCCTATTCGATTAAAGTGTGATGTGCTCCACCCTTCAAACCGTAAATCTCACTAGAAGATATTATTCTAGGAACTGACAACGGTTATAAATTATCTGGAATCGAAACACGAGGCTACAAGTCCAATGATGGTCACAACCCCTTCAACGATCTCACAAGAAAGAAGGGTACAAGAAGTACTTCAAATATCAACCTAGTTTTTTACATAGCTATTGAAAATCTTTCCAGGAATTCACATCGCTTCTGAACGAGCTTCTGGAAGATTCAACTACGTCTTTGGAATTGACGACCACCTCGATGCCGTCGATCAACAGCACAACAATGACAAGGAAAACGTCCAGCAGTACTGCGACGACAGCCTCAAAGCCACCATCAACCACTTATGCTACCACCACCACAAAAGCGCCAATAACCTTGTCCACTGCTGCTTCAAAGACGTCAACGGCGAGCCGTCACACTACGCCTACTACCATCCACTGCTGCCGCTGAACCGTCCGCTTCCACGGATCTCGCCTACAGTGATGAGGACGAGTATGACGAGATAGGTCCGGATGATGTTCCCGTTGACAGCCTACGAAAAGGAAAAGAAGACCATGAGGAGGAAGGTAAGTTCTTATGTGCGATCTGAAGGCGTTATCTTCTGCGCTTTGCTGTTGTGATAGTTTTGGGTGCAGAAGGGATGAACGGAGACGAAGGGCATAAAACCAGTTGAGTTGGCCTGCACACAGTTCCTTGATTTTCTTTACGCTCGTCACATATTGAGAAGATGTAATTCATAATCTAAGCGACAAATGGCGCGCTCATTTATTATTCCCTTATCACCCCGATAATTGTTTCATATTACTCATCTGTAGGCTTTGATAGAGGCAGCAGTTTTAGGTAATTTGATAACCGGTTGTTCATTAGGTTAGTCTTGCAGACAGTCGTAAGCAAACGCGCATGCATGCATGACAACAGTTGGCATGCCGCCCCACCTTAAAATTAAGTTCCTTAGTAGCTTCAGCAGTCGACAACCCTACAGGCTCATAGATGTACGGAATGTTAATTACCTATGGCGTTCAAAGTATACAGCAGCCGATACGAGAAAACACTGTGGGGAGGCTGGGAGGTCACTTGTCTTCCTACCAGTTCAATTGGACTTGCCCTTGTAAAATACTTTAAAAGACGAACGCTGTTCGAACCCAACTTTCCTCTAAATGTTGACAGCTAGATTTCGTTCTACAATACAGTTGACTATGGTAATAGCACGCCGACATTATTTACATTAATGAGGTGCGCGTACCACGCCGGCCTCCATACCTTACTATGGACACATCACGCTGTTTGGTCACATTGAGTCCCAATACCCTCGAATCACACAAAGCAGGACCTTGAACTGTCCCTGAAGGCTGCGCCATTATCCCAATTAGTCGCTATTTGACAGCAATAACGCGAGCTTTAACCCCGCATGGTCGTTAAGTCACTGTCCGCGACGTGCCACCTAATTGGATCTCTCGCGAATATCCGACACGTTGCCAATTTCTGCATCTGATTTGTATACTGAACATGGAGATATTTTTCCCGCAGAAATATGTGTAGATGTTATACATTACACACAAAAGGCGCATCATCCGAGCAAAGCACAGACGCTACCATGTGGTGCGACGTCGCGCAGTGACTTTGTGTTACACCTTTGCCAAAAAATCGTAAACTTTTGATACAGTGCTACTTCTATAGACATTACAGACCATTGCAGAATGAAGTACACCCAGTCAACTGTCCGACGGCTTGCAAAGTACCTAAAGAGGTGGTTCACATAAGCTCCGAGTCAACAGAGGGTCAAGACATTCCTGGTTGAAAGACAGGCGGACCTCCTGAGGCGTGTGCGACCGGCAGCGATAAGTATTTACCACCTCGGCAATCTATAATGCTCACTCTGTCGTTGCGCGTCATTCCACCTACATAGCAGCCAGAGAGCTTTAGCGTTAAGAAGGGTACGATGGAGTCCGCGACGCAGCAATGCGCAAATCCAACGGGAAGGACGGAGTCTTCATTTCTCGAGTCGCCGTGCATTAAATTCTATTAGTCCTTATACTCATTGTCACACTAATTGTTACTATTAGCTATATTGACTAATATGAAAGTGGGTTTGCATTGTTCAGTAGTTGCCTTTCTATAAATTCCGCCTTTGAAAGAGGAGCTGTTTAACGGCGAGGCACCGTGCCGAAAATGCTGTGTTTGGGTTATGAGTTACAGTATGTAACAGTATGAATTACAATAGTTACAGTATACGTATGTAGGAGATTACACTGGAATTTAAGAAATTCTGCTTCCAGAACACTCCCTCAAATCCGAATGTTTTCTAACAGAAAAAAATATTACAGAGAACTCCGAACAATCAACTACTGCGAAAAGTCGAGTGTTTTCTGAGGACAGTTGGGAGTTCACGCCACCAAATTTCCGATACTCATCAATGAGGTTCGAGTAGGTTATGTGAAGTTCATATTTCACATTTTCCGACCAAATATCAGTATTACTCAGATGGCTCATTCAGGAATGGTGGAGTTACACCGTTGAACATCGACACCTCCACCTTGTTCGGCATGGATGAAGACGATAGTGAGGAAGACGATGTGAAGGACGCCAAGACAGAAGGTCCATTGAAGAAAGGTTCAGGGAACTTGGAAGAAACTCCCAAGAAAGTGAGCACAAAGGTGGAAAAGAGCGGCCTGGGTATTAGACCAACGAAAGGAAAAGTGGAGAAAACTGAAAAGAAGCAAAATATATCAGTCAATGCGAGGAAAGGAGCGATCTCGAAAGTGAAAGTTGGCCTCAGTCGAGAAAAGTACGACTCCTCAACCACAAAGAGCGAAATCTCGACCACCAAAAAGCCACCTACCACTAAAGCGCGGCCAACTGCGACTACTAGAAAAGAGTTCGTACCTGTGGGAGATGGGAAAATAATCCAAGAGGCAGAAGACGTCGGCGAGAAGAAGTTGCCTTCACTCGCTCTACCCACTGATCCAAACCGAGAACTACCACCTTCCTCTACTACCAAATGGGTCTTACCACATTCTTCAACTACTAACTGGCCCTTACCATCTTCTTCAACTATCCCATCTAGTAGCGAATGGACCTCCACAGACCCCGATGTTCTCCTGGAGGAGGTGAGTCGTCCTTTCAAAGAAGCGGTACAGAGAGTCACGCCCAATGGTAACATTCAGTCTCAAGACGCTACTGCGATTCCTGATGTTCTCTCTGAGGAGACGCAGAAGCCTGTCGATGACGTGCACTCGCGTGAGGTCAGTACGGCTCGAGATGTCTCCCTGGAGGAGGTGCTTCGTCACTCAAAGGAGCCCACACAGACAACGGCTGAAGATGATATTCAGCCTCACAAGATTACTACGGACCCGGACGTCTCCTTGGAGGAAATAAGACACCACTCGCAATGAAGAGACGCAGACAAAGAAGTCTGATGATAACACGCACCGTTCGGAAAATAGGGTTACCGCAGCAATACGGATTACACTATTAGATCATTCCGCGAGAATCAAGCATGATGAATCAGGATGAACCATGGCTTCCGTTCAAGCTAAGAAGAAGTCCAGATCTACCTGCCAACCAGCAGAGCAAAGCTTGCATGAAAAGTGGGTTTTTTCCATTCTTTTGGAAGGTTTTATTTTCTAATATGATGTGCGGAACTGGATTTTTTCTCCTTCACTAGCAACGCAGGAAGGGATCGAGGCATAGAAGAAAAACTCGGTCGTGATTTGCCCAGCTGAAATTATAGGAACATCCTTGCCTAATGGTTTCTCGTTCAATTGGCATAGTGTTTTCGGATAAAAGAAGATAAGAGGAGAATTCCAATAAAGAATTAGACGCATATTAACTCCCACGTTGATGGAAGTGTACTTTGGGCTTGAATACATATCAGGCAGACAAACTAGTCGATGCTTACTTAGCTCCTTTCACATACTACTATACACTGCGTTTCATAATTATAGGTCCACCCTAAATTTTTGCTATCCCAAAGTTGCTGTGCATTTTTTGGAAATGCTGCTATCACCGTTAGATTCCTCATCACGGAAAACCTTCATAGTGTTTTTCTGACAAAGTTCCCCCCTCAAGTAACCCAATTAACTTTTTCAGAACGAATTTTCACCGTTTCATGAATATCGGGCCACTCATAAAAAGTTTCCATTTCTCACGATCCGTGAAGGGAATCAGGGAAGCGGGGAAATATGTGGGCTCAGTCGACATCGAGTTTACCATACCTCGTGTTATTCGCCTCTCTAGTAACAAGCTCAAGCTAGAGCACTTACTGAAGTGGGATAGCTGAGGAGCAGAATTTCCTCCCATGTCGGCCGGCTCATACTGCATAAGCGACTATGTGCAAAATCCTGGTCAGTGCGGAGAGAAGAGTCGCTTAGGTAAATAAAGACTGCGTTTCCTTCAAAATTTAGGAGGAATTGGGTGTCTTCTCTCGAATTATACAAGGAGTCCGAACAAAGTCCGTACTGAAATGCGGCCTTCCGTGAGCAAAACCACCGTGTGGTGAGTAAGCCAGCAGAGCAATAACATCTTCAACGGATTGATGAAGAGCGTTCCAAGATTATTTGAGCGCTACAAGATCGCAAGTCTCCATTTCTCCGTGGAAAAGGGCTCAACTTAATGAGCGATGGTGTGGCTGTTAAGACCCTTCGCGATCTTGGACTCTACCTCCTTGTTTCATGCTACAGGTGATCTGAATCGACGTGAAAAAGTTTATTCTAGGTGGATCTGATAGAAAAGAGGGTACAGGAGGGTTCCGTGAAAATCGCAGATGGTTTTGAAGTAAGGTAATTTTGGCGAAGAATCCCTTATGGTTTGAGGCACCTTTGAACGACTGAGTAGCTAGAGCTCGCTTTTGTTTCCGTTCACAAAGATTCCACAGGGTATCGTGAAGTTCTTTCGAAGCGAGTCTTACCATTTTTTCAACAAGGATCCCCTCTATCCTTGATTTTCACACACGATAACGCGGCTGTCCATGCCGGTCCCTCCGCGCCAGATGGAATTGCAGGAAAAAATGTGGCAGTTATCTGGTGGCCACCATGTTATCTGAATTAGATTCCAATAGAGAATCATTGGGCCTTAATTGTTATAAAGTTCCACAGCAAAGTAAAGCAAAATGGAACAGCCGAAAAGCTGAAAAGGTCGATCATCGGCGCCCAGACGAATTTCGATCCTACTGTAATAGCTAATTTGGCTACCAGCATTTCAAAACGTATTATTGTGTTCCTTATGATTATTGGGGGGTCATCCCATTATTGAAAATTCGTGACGTTTTTTCGTTATAGTAAAATCTCTCGACAAGTGATGTGTAGTCATATTTGCGAAACGGTGAAAATACGTTCTAAGGAAGATATTTTAATAATTCTGAATCGAGATTTCTCCAGAAATCAAGTATCAAGGTTTTTCGTTATGGGGAAACTATTGGTAATAGCGGCATTTTCCAAAAATGCACAGCAACTTTGGAATAGCAAAAAATTAGGGTGGACCTATATTTATGAAACGCAGTGTATATAATGATGGTCCTAGCAAAAACCATACGAACGCCGCCGGGAGCTTCCTTTCCTGTGCGCAGTTATTTCTATCCTCCGCTATGGTCCCTTCCTCCTGTGACACCAACACCTCCTGGAAGTGACGCGTATGCAACACAATGGTGTTTCATACAGTAGAAGGGACACAATCATGATATGACGGTAGATTTTTCGCTTCCCTTCCTCATCCTCCCTTCCTCTCTCCACTGCCCTCCAGCTGCCACTGCAGCACCATGTGGAATGAACGGAAGTGTGCTAAGCAGGTGTTTATATAGCCCTAAGAGTGTTATCACAACTATCCTGCTACAAAACATTGATATCTCAAATCCTGTAAGCTACCCGATTTGTTAGCGGTTTGTTTATCCCATGAGCTTCCTTCTCACTCACTTCATTTTGCGGACGGACACACATACATACATACACACACATACAGATACACAAACCGACACACAAAGTTAGCGCTTTATAAATAGAAGGATAATCGGCTAAGCGGTTGTGTGTGTGTGTGTGTGTGTGTGTGTGTGTGTGTGTGTGTGTATGTGTTGTCTGTCTGACCGGAAATTCATAGCTCGGGCACCAGTGGTCGTCAGGGAGTTGGTTTCAAGATATGATATAGGGGGTGGGACGGGAACATATTTGGTGGGGGTCACAAAGTGATAACGACTGATATGAGCAGATAAGAGGCGCTGAAACACAATTTTCACAAAATTCATAGTGCGCTTCGCAGCAGTCGTCAGGAGCTGATTTTGGGACATGATATGGGGGTGGGACGGTAACATATTTTGTGGGGGTCAAAAAGTGATAACGACAGATGAGGACTGATAATTACGATATGCGTACGAACGTAGAGATTACTCGAAACCAGATTGCAGATAATGCATTTCATTTCAATATCATTTCATTAGCGTTATAATTGTAAATTCAAACACCTTTCAACCGCTACACCTTCTAGAGTTCTTGAGGATGAATGGGATGCTCTAATAAATTTGATAGTGAATACTGGGCATTCCGTCTTGAGATTACCAAAAATTATTCGACCGCTAAATTTCCTCGATTCTCGATGCATGGTGGTTGTTTACATACATCACTTTAGCTGTGCGCTTATCAAACA